GCCATCATGTCAATATGGACCAAAATCTCTGAGGAATGCTTCCAGCACCTTGTTGAATCTATGCCACGAAGAATTGAGGCAGTTCTGAAGGCAAAAGTGGGTCCAACCCGTTACTAGCGTGGTGTACCTAATAAAGTGGCCGGTGAGTGTACTGTGCAGCCCTAGGGTCTGGTGAATTGAACTTGTTCCTCATTCAGTGAAGTTACTCACAGCGGGTAGAGAATCCACATATTTTACTTAAATAAGAGTAGCGATTCTTCATAATAAAATTACTTAAGTAAAAGTACAGTAAAAATACTCAAAAGTAATTTTCTACCAAAAAGTTACTCAAGTAAATGTAAGTAGTTACTCCCTCAACTCTGACAGCAGTGTGGGGGCGGCTGTGGTGTAGTGGCAGAGCAGCTGGCTTGGGATCCAAAAGTCTTAGGTTCGACTCCCCGCCATGCCCACATGTCATGGTGTCCTTGAGCAAGACACCCTACCCTAACCTAACTGCTCCCCGGGCAGCCTCACATGGCTGCCCGCTGCTCCACTTGGGTGTGGATGGGTCAAATGCAGAGCACAATTTCATCAATGTGTGGAAACATACACTGATGACCAATAAAGCACCTTTACCTTTAGTGTTGCAGTTTTAGCTGTGCTTGGAGCATGACTTCCACATTTATCACTGGAGTTATCGAGCAAACGGGGCTGCCATGCACCGGCGCCACCGGACCCTCTGACCACCATCAGGAGGCAAAGTGGTGAAGTGTCTTGTCCAAGTCACAACGACTGAGACAGCTGAAACAGGAGATCAAACTGTGACACTCCAGTTAAAGGACAACTCCTCTAACCACCCTGCCACCACCCCGACTGGTAGCTCCTCAGATGCAGCCTTCACTTTCAGGGTTTTGTGGACTACATTTACCAGTCACATGAGAAGGAGCACACAAACTGGGGCAGCTACATGTCTCATAGCTCACTCTGTGTTCCTCTACAGTCATCTCCAACATCTTGTTCAAATCCCTCCTGGTTGTTTGCCTTGACACCAGAGCTGCCCATCACTTCCTCTGTTTCCTTCACTAACATGTTCATTCAGGGTCTCACCACTCCCTCCCTTCTGAGAATACTGTCTATCACTTGGTCCGGGTCAGAGGTCTGCAAACCTTTCAACCAGTAGAACCATGTCTGCCCCTTGGCTCACTGATAAAATGTGAAGTGGAACAGGCTACACTTGGGTGGCTTTTTAAACAATCATAGTTTATAAGAAATTTAAACACAGAGCTATGCAGGCATGTACTTCCTGTTATCTGATCTACTCATATTTCTAATCAGAAACTTGTCTTTAAGGCACAGTGTGTAGGATTTTGTCTATTCTTTTAGCAGAAATTGAGATAATCACTAATGACAATAATAAAAACATGTCTAATC